AGCATGAAAACAATGTTAAGATTTCAGTTGAAGCAATAAATCAACTCATAAAAATTTTTTATTGCCTACAATGGATATTATGAAGTTGACATTTGAAGTCAGATTTCATAATTGACCTCTAGCAGTCAACATGTTAAAGAACAAACAAATATATAAATTTATAAATTAAAGAAGCTTTAAAAAAACAACAAAGTAGAACAAAAACTGTTAAAATTTTTAAAAAAAAAAATCAACAAAAAATGCAACTATTAATGGCGTAGGCACAGTTTCAAATGTGACATTTATAAACAAAATGCTCAGTTGCAATAAAATCAAAGATTGATTTGACATTGTATTGATATTATGAAAAGCTCCCCTCTCTCAATTCTAAAATTATAACAAATCAATATTTTTCAATTATGAGCCTAAGGAAGGTCTAAAGAATTATGCAAAAATTATTTCACAGAAAAATTTTCCTTATTTTTTTATGAGTGGATTAAAATCTTAATTGAATTATAAATCTACATATAAATGTTGTTAATTGAACCCCAGATATAAATATAATGCATTCAATTTACCACCAATAAATATTGACTCTACTTTCATAAGTTACCTTACTACCCACAGATTTGTTGATGATGGGGATAAAAAAATCTACTTATGTTCAATAATAACTATGGACTATAAAACATATTTTTTCATTTTTTAGATGTGGTATTATTATAATTTAACAGAATTTTCAAATGATTCTTCTCATTTTTGTTAAATATTTCTATGACATTTGGCCACCTTTAGATGAATGAGACATTATCTGAATAGGCTTAGATATTTATTTAATATATCATCAATGATGCTGTGTTTATTTTTAGCTTTTGAATCTCTGTTGAATCAGTAGGGATTAGCTTGTTTGTCAGGATACCCACTAGGTGGTATTCTATTCAAGACTATAAAAGCTATGGATATAAACTCTCTCTCCAGGATATAGTAATGACAACATGGGACTTTACCCTTCAGAGGAGATTTCTTAGTTCCCAGCCACATCTCTCACTCACATATGCACACTCAACTGCTCATCTGTGTTGATGAGCTTTCATCTTTGGTACCTAGACTTTATGAATTTAAGTATACTACTAGATTGGCAGTAAGGTCTCATCATCTAACAGTTGAAATGATTAGATGTAACCATAAGTTCTATACTAACAGTTCCTTTTTTTGTACATCCCATTGATGGAACTTAATTTCAGTTTCTTTCTTTTTAGTCAACTTTGATCTTCAAAAATTTAAATATAATCAATCATTATCTTTTGTCTTCTTAATTCCTGTTCTTTTATTGTTCTCTCACCGTAATAATGTTTTTTTTCTCACATTCAGTAACTCCTTGCATCTTAGTGGCTTTATTTCCATGTATGAAATAAAAAGAAAATCTCATAAATGTTTTTATTTCCCATTTTTGAGCTATCTATATAATAATTGTTTGTCCCTCCCTTCATTAGTTAGTTCACACAACCATTATTCCCTGCCAATACCTCATAAATAGGGGATTATTCCATTTTGATGGCATGAAAACATGGAAATGACATATCAGAGATGCTACTTGGTTTCAGTCAGAAAATGAAAAAAAGAATCAAAGATAGAAGTGATTTCATTTTTATTGTGTGGAAAAACAGAAAAGACATATCAGAGATACTACTTGGTTTCAATGAGAAAATGAAAGAAAGCAGGGAAGATCGAAGTGTTAAACATCTATTCCATTTTTATTGTGTGGAAAGATGGAAAAGACATATCAGAGATACTACTTGGTTTCAATGAGAAAATGAAAAAGGAATCAAAGATAGAAGTATTTCACAACTGTTCCTTTTTTATTGTGTGGAAAGACAGAAAAGACATATCAGAGATACTACTTGGTTTCAATAAGAAAAAGAAAGAAAGAAAGAAAGAAAGAAAGAAGTGTTTAACATCTGTGTCAGTGAAATGGAAAAAGTTGTCAATTTCAAATCTTTTCATTTATTCCCCCTTAATTCTTAAAATAATGACCAGCATTCATATTTATGATTGCTATTTCAATATTTTGTTAAAGTTGTTAAGCTCAAATATTTAACAATGTGATAGTGGAATTTCTACGGATATTTTATTGTCATAGCATATTCAATCATTAACTTAATAATTATGATTCATCAGTATATTAAAATAGGTAAATCATGAAATTTTCACAGGTCTTTTTAGTAAATATAATTTTCTTTCCCTTTTTTTGAGCTATGCTGTTCTCTAAATTTTAAAATGTTAGTTTCAATCTGTATGGGAATGATTGCAAAACACTTACCCCTCCCCAATTTATAGGCAGAAGCTTGCAAATGCATGCTGGGATTTCTTCCAAGCCAATAAAACAGGCTGGTTCTTGGTTTCATCTGACTTAGTCTCAGTCTGTCTTGTCTTGAAGTTAGAATGTTATGTTCACTTGTCTGATCTTCCTTGTGTGTCAACACCAATTCTTTGTGAACTTTTGCCATATTAATGTTTTTTTGCCTTGCATATATTGTTTACTTGCTTTATATTATTTTTACCCTGTACTTTTCTTTTTCTTGTTATTGCTTATTATGAACTTGGACAGTTCTGTTACTTATTTTGCATTCAAGCAAGGCTACTTACTCTGCAGAAAAGTTCTCATCTGCATTATAACTGCACCTATTACAAGTTATAACACACACTACTTATTTATTCAATACAATCATTCTTGATAAAGTGTTTATTTAGTCACTTGAATCATTGTTAGTCTTTCAGCTTTATATAATCTCAAACTATAGAAAAGAGACAAACTTAACATTGAGGTTATTTTTGATAAAATGATCCCAAAATTTCTCTTTTCATTATAATACTTAATACATAAATGCTAAACCACACACTACAATTATTTTCTCCCTGTAATCAACTGTGTTCATAGTCACATTCATCTTAAAGGAAGTTGGTCTATAAGATTGATCTATATTACTAAATCACTGTTCTAAAAGTATTGGAAAATGATAGGACCAACAATCCAAAGCATTGTTCACAAACCATATATATATTTTTTAGGGGGTGGGGGCATTAAAACAGAATCATCAATTAAACAATCACTTAAACTATTAAAATAAAACAATCAATTACTTACAAAGATGATGTACATATGTATTCAGGATTTTATAATGCCAAGAAAGAGTGCATGATAATGGATATATATCGTCAGTGTTTCTTAGTCTTATTTAGACTTCATGCAACAGTTGCTTAATAGCTCTTAGTAAAATTTTATATTTCTGGGTTCCCAGATTAACACTGAATAAAATTCCTTGAGAAAATTATACTGAAATTCCTTTATTTTGGGAGTTCACATAACAGACAAACAGGCAGTAATAAGTATATAGTTATGTTCCCCAAGATTTCACAAATTATACAAAAAATAACTTATAACTACTTTTAAAGCCTTTTAAAATTCTAAATCCCATAATACTTTAGGTTTTTGTTCATCTTTACATACAAAAGATGACATTGTTTAGCCATATTATCAGAAGAAAATTATCTCCACTGGTTCAGATATGGAGCTAGTTTTTATTTCCTATACTATTCAATGAAATTGTCTTTCAGCAAAAGTAGTACATAGCTTCCTGGATTATCTTTCGCTGGTATGACTCATGAAGTAAATTCAGAATTAAGACTTTAGTCCATCTTTCAGAATTGAAAGAAGATATTTGTTTATTCAAATATTACTAATTCTATAAAACAAATAACTATCATATAACATTTAGAATTTATTTTCAAACAATTTCCTATCTAAAAAGTATATAATAAAAAATGTCATTTAAACTTTTAAGATTTTCCAGACATTAAACCAAAATTCCCTAACAATTTCCCAATTTTTCATAAGTAACTATTTCTTATTTCTTTCCTAATTCCATGATTTCAAATTTCCATGTTGGCTGTGAACACTGTAGTTGTGTATACAACAGCTTTTAAAGCATAAAGTACACTTTTGACAAGGCAATATGCATAAGTAAAAAATTCCTTTTTATTGCTATATTTTATGATTCTTAAAAACAAAGAAAAACATTTTTTCAGACAATGGTATCAAATAATACTATTATTACTGAAACTCACAATAGGAGGTATTCAACTTATGTCAGAATAGACAAGTTGCTCAGAATTAAACCTTTTTATAACAGAGAGGTTAACTCTATATATCATGACATTTTATAAATATAAATATAATGACTGATCACTCATATCTGTTTATGCCTGTCTACTAGGGTGGCTAACCAATCCCTGTTGCAGATGCCTGCTTAGGCACATTTGTGGTTTATACTGCAACTTAGCTACAGTTACTGGGAGAGAGTACATTATCTGTCATGATCAACAGTCTGAACAATGTCAGTATACTCAAACTCTCAGTCACAATGACTTGTGACTTTGTGTTAGCATAACCATTGACAGCTCCCAATTAGTTCTGTTTACCCAATTTGAACTCACAATGTCAGGCTGATAACATCAAGAAACCACCTTTCTGATAAATCAATCATGGTAGGATTTGAAGCTGAACCTCATGGTCAGAAAGCAAACATTCTAACCACATAGACATATGTGTCCATTACATTTTATAAAACAGTAAGGAATTCTAACAACAAGCATAAGGTAATGTAGCCAGATAGTTTCTGATTTTTTATTATTTAATATAGATGTTAATTTAAAAATAGCAAATAAAGCTCCAGGGGATTTTTACTGATTGATTATTTTTTTAAAGTTTATCAACCTTTTGCAGGTTATTTAAAGCCAGAAATATTTTAGATTCTAAGAGTTTTTTATGGAGATAATGATTTACTGATGCAAGCCTTACTAATAAACTCATAGATGGCAGGGGGAGAAAAGGTGGATTCATATCTTACTGAAGGGTATTTGTGCGTGAGTGAATATAATGAACCTAACTGGAATTGGAACTTGGCTCTCCAATTAACAATTCTGAGGCATTATTCATTACATCACCCATATATCCAAGGTTATAACACCTGGTACTCCCAAGAAACTACCCATCTAGGTACTGACCAGTCTCGACATTGCTTAACTTTGGTGATCATATGGGAACCAATGTTTCAACATGATGTGGTTATAAGCTCCACCACCAGGAGATTTTATAAAATCCTTCAGATATTTTCAAAAAATGAATAATGGCATTATTCTTCATAAAAAAAAGATTTCTCATCTTCTGCCTTATTATTTCCTGGTCAATTCTAAAATAATGTATTGATAAAGTTATCCATGACTAAATATTACCAATTCTAATTATATTCTATGAGCTTCATGTATTACCATTGAATGGTAAATATTCCTGTCTGAATTTCTTGAATGAGAAATTATTATTTACATTCAAACTATTACCCTTATCTGTGTTCTTATCACAATATTTCATTTGTAGGAATATATTGTCTTTATTTGTTAAGGATATTTTTAGTTCTGATCATATCCATAATAATTTTGTAATTATTTTGATATTGTTAGTATTGAATAAATTGTTTTGGATAGTAGATATTAAGAAGCTAGTAGGTAATATTATATGTCTGTTTTTATCTAGTGTATTGTCATTGTTATTAATAATGTTATCTTTTTTAAGATTGTATATCTTGTCTTTCTCTTAGCATTGTAGATGAAATAATGTGGATATTGGAGGTTTTTGAAAGTGATTTCTATGTATACTTCTTCTTTAGGTAAGTACCGAAGGCTTCTGATTCTTAATGCTCTTAAATAGATTCCTATAATTATTCCAGATTTTATCCTGTTACAGTGGTGGGAATAAAAATTTATAAGTTCTTTCTTGTTCCTAGATTTTCTGTAAACCTCCAATTGTTTTATTCTATTACTGCTTAGTGTTGGTTCATGAATTTGGTGACATCTATCTCTGGGTTGGGTAGTTTAGATTTAGACTCAAGTAATAACTAAGCAGTACTAAATAAGAACAAGACAAGATATCTTTAGACACATTCAATGGAACAAGAAAAATCTAACCCCATGGATTAAATAAAAATTTCATTTCACCATTCCTTTAAGGTTACCTGGATCAACAAATATTTGAAGGTTAGAAGGTATAATGGCTGAAATGTTGATAACAATACAGAGAAGGACAATAGTTTGAATGTAAATGATGTACATATATAGAAAGAAAATATCTAAGTAGAAACAGAGAGGAAGTATGAATATTTTCACCAAATACAAAAAAAAGAAAATATCAATTAACACTTCTTTATTTGCAAAATAAAATAACTGTTACTCAGCTTGAAATTGAAACAAAAAGAATGTTTTATTTGCTTAGATATTTTCTGAGAAAGGAAATACATGTAGAGATTTGCTCTAAATATTCAAAATAAAGAAATTAAGCTAGGTAGAAAAACAAGTTCATAAGAGAGTGGAGACTTACTGTAGTAGAAATTATAAAAGTCCTTGGAAGAGGGTGTAATGTGTCATGAAGTATTGTCAAATTTCATTGTTTGAAAGTTAAAAGATGATTAGCAGGAATTCCCATTGTTGAATGCAAGGAATTGTCCAAATAAATGTCATTCGTGGTAAACTTTCAAAAGTTAGTATAGCCTTGCTAAATTATAGTTGTAGTGAGTCAGTGAGTTGCTTAGTATTATCAATTGTGGGTTAATTTCAAATATATAAGTTCAAAATTATATTTTATGGTTTTATGTGATGTTCCAGAATTGTTTGCAAGTTAGTGGTATCTTGGAATTCAGCTCTTTCCTTTTATGGCTGATAGATAACTTGATCTTCTGACTTTGTCACTCCTGGTTACTTTTTCCAACTTATATCATGAAGAACAATGATTCATGCCAGTTGGCCACTTCCATTATATTCATTCCAAATCGCTCAGTGGGCTACTTATTAAAATTCAAACCTCAAGTTTGTCCTGATTGGTTGAAAATAATCTTGAGAAAGAAAGAGTTCTTTTTTCAAGCTTTCCTTTCACAGTACATTCCTTTTTTTTTAAAACCCTGAAGCAGGTATAGTACCACCATAGGCTCAGAAGCAAGGCTTATCAGAACCACCCTATCTGAACACCTCATTAGTTGAGAATGTCTTCAATTTAGATGATGAAAAGAAGCAGGGAGTATATTTTTTCACATAAATTTTTATAAGAGAAAAATGTAAGTAGAGAGAGAGAGGTGTAAAGCTGTCCAAGTGAGAGGGCAAGAAAGTCATACAAGAGGAAAGCACAACAAAAATGCATGATGGGAAATTGCAAGGTGTGCAGATTGAGAAAGATGCTTTATTTTCTATAGAGTATACTGGAATGGTAGAACTAAGTACATTATAGTTAATTATGACTGTTAAAGAAACAGTGGACAGAAAAAGTAATAATAAATTCAATATGTTTAAAATTATAAGGAGCTTTATGCTTCAAAGAGATATAAAATTGTTTAAACAGACAAGAGGACAAGCATAGTAATTGATAAAAAAAAAAAAACAGAATTTCAAAGAACCACTTGAAACAAAGGACAAAAAGATATCCAATAAAAGAAAATACAGAAACCAAATTGTGAAAAAAAAATTTACTAAAGCCTTAGCATTAGACTTTTTTTTTAAAAAAAATATTTCACCTGAAGCAAGGCAATAAAGCTACTAAGATGCAAGAGGTTAGTGAAAGAGAAATAGGCTGAGAAAAAAATTACTGAGTAGAAAAGACAATAAAAAACAAGATTCAAAAAGACTGAAGATGATTATTAACATTACATTTAAATTTTTAAAGATCATAGATGAGAGGAAAGGAAGAAGCCCAAAGAGAGTTCCACAGGTAAGAAGTGTAAGAGAAGAAACTATTAGATTCCAAACATTGTTAGACTTGATGATGGAACAAAGAGCAGTTTTATTAGCAGTAGTATCCACAATATTACTTATATTAGTATTCACATAGCAATATATCAAACTAATGCACTTGTTCAATATATATATATATATATATATATATATATAGAATTGTGTGTGTGTGTGTGTATACATACATGAGTCCACATGTATCATAGAGTGCAGCACCTTAAACATGATTTATATTCCAAAGATTCTACTAAAGCTATATGTTGTCTTGCAAATGGATACCATAACAGTTTACCATATTTCCAAAGTGTATATTAACCAACTATTTGGCAACAGTTGAAAGCCCAAACCAGTAATACTACAAAGCTTTTTAGAATGACCCTATTGAGTATCACAGAAACCAATTAAACTCAGGGATTTAATTGACTTCTTCATGCTAGAGATATGTGAATGAGTATCTCTTCATAATAAACTGAATCTTATGTTTTTATTTGCCATTATTATTGTATTAAATAATGAAAATTCAATTGGACAAAAAGCAAAAATATATAGTGAAAGTGTGCTGGGCCCATAACCTGTTAAACTTCCAAACATTGACAGTGCAATAAACAAAACTTGAGTATTATTAGCAGCAGTATTAACAATATATCAACAGTAGTAGTCACATGGACAGCAATACAGTGAATTAACAAATATACATGGTATATCCATCATCATCACCTCTTTCATACACACACACACACACATATATATATATATATATTTTAAATCAGTTAATTTATAATATTAATGTTCTGTAAATTTACATTGAGCACTATTTTGTAAAAATGAAAATATCTATAAGAACACCAGATTATATATCTTACTGTTCTTTCTTTTTATTTATATATATATATATATATATGAGAGAGGGAATAATGATGGAATATAGCACCTTATACTTAGATATGTTCAAGCTTCATCAGAAATGTTACAATCATAGTTGTTAATATTTCAACACTTAGAATAAATGAAATAAAAATTAAAGTAAGAATTTGATGAATTTTTACTGACTAGAAACACAAATGATGGCAAAAATAATTTTCAAAATAAGTAAGAATATTTTAAAAAACATGAATATTTGGATGTAAAAAAATAAATAAATATCAGATATTCAAGTGAAATATGTCAATTGTTATATACAAAGAATACTTTTGAAAAATAGGAAAAGAAATTCTTGTTCATCAGACAAAATAAAAATAAAAATTCCAAAATATATTCATACACAATTAATATTTGATTAACAAGTTATTTCACATCATCCTCAGTAAAAAGGAAAACTGAAAAAAATGAGGAGAAAAAAAAGAAAGAGAATGTTACTGACCTTGCTTTAATAATGATTTATAAAAAAAACAAACAAGAAACCTGAATATGAGTATCTTCATGGAATTTTGGCATATGAATAATGAATTAAAAAATAACTATTCTACTCAGCTCCCTTCTGCCACACCTGGACTTTGTATAAACTACACTATTTTTTGTTTGAAATTCTACGATAAGAAGTAATTTATCTTATCTACAGTTGGATTAATGTGCATATTTTTATTGTTCTTATTACATTTTGGGCATTATGATCTCTGGCCATCTTAAGGTGTCTGTTGATCAGGGTAACCTTTAGAAAATTTCAAAGTAAACCCTTTATTCAATCTACATGAATAGATATTCATTACACTATCTTATTCTTTATTTTTTTAAGTATTCATCAGTTTTTGCTAGTGTTGCTTTCACTAAGTCTGTTCTACCTGGCCCAGGGATTGAACTCACAATTACTATGCCACCAAATTCACAAACCAACACTATAATCTTCTAGGCTGAAGGACTCAATGGTCAAAATACTGATAATATCAATTAAGGTGAGGAAATCAGTTTGAATATAAATAATGTAAATATCTTCTATTTGTATCTTATTTCAATGTAAGAAAAAGAATGTATTTTAATCCCACATTTTTCTTTATTAATTAAATATTAATTGAAGTTTCCAGTGTTATTTTCATTGAATAGGTAAAACTTTATGGAATATTCAATAAGAAATTAAATGGATTTTAAAATTAAAATTATTCAAAAACCAGAAATAGTTGAGAAATATCAACAATTATCAAAAATAAATATCTGATGACAAGCAAGGAAAAAAATACAAATTCCATCTGGCTAATTTGCAAATTAGCCACCAACATGAATTAATGCAACAATATTATGAATATAGTACAACTAAACTGGTAGAAAATACAATCTTTATATATTTACTGAAAGGTTTTAATTGATTGATTTTTTTTTTACAGCTTATCAACTCTTTTGAGGTTATTTAAACCTGAAACATATTTTTGGATTTAAGAATTTTTTAGAAATAATAATAATTTTCTGATACAAGTCTTACTATTTAACTCTTAGATGGGAGGAGAAGATTTTCCCAAGGGTATTTGCATGTAAGTGAATATAACAATCCAGACTGGAATTTGAACTCAGCTCTCTAATTTCTCATTCTGAGACTTTACCTATTGCAATACATGCACTTCCAAGCTTACAGAACCTGGTATTCCCACATGGTCACCCATCTAGGTACTGACCAGGTTCAACATTGCTTAACTTCAGTGATCAGACAAGAACTGATGTCTCAAAATGATACGGCTGTAAGCCGACTGAAAAGTAATATGAAAGTACACTATAAAACTAAACTAATGAGATCCAAGTTTACAAACCAATTTTCTTGATATTAACTTTTCTGAACAGGGCTGTGTCAACAATGAAATTAACAGAAAAATTTGATTAATTTCTTTAAGAATTTATTTATATTCTGTACACCTAAACAAACAAAATATTTTATATTTATGAACTATGGTTTCAGTAGTACAATTATACAAACTGGTATTGGAATGTATTCAGGCAAGTTCTATTTGAAAACTGTTTTACTTTTTGTTCAAAATATAATAATCAATTTAATATTTATTGAAACATCAATAGATTGTAGTGTTATATTTAAATTATTACAACTAAATTACCTATACCATAAACATGCTTTGACATTTTATAATACAATGAAATAAAATTATTATCCATTAACAGCAATAATAATTTAAGATAGATATTGCAAAAAAAATTTTTTTACTATGTTGACTGTATTTGTATAGGAAATTTACCTATCTGTATGTAATAGATTCTTCTAGTGATGGGGGAAATTGTCATATTAATAAATCTTATGAAAGTCAGACAAACTTAGACATTGGACAATTTATATTTGAATTTTCTATGAAAATCAGGAAAGTGGTCTGAAATATAAAAAGAAAAACTTAAAGGATATTCATTGGTCTTTAATCAAACATTAAATCCCACTTATACATGTAGTTTGTGGAAATCTATGTACAGTGTAAAAGTGACAAATTTTACCAGATTTCATAAATTCATTTCTAGTCATTATCAGTAAGTGAAAATGTGTCCTAAGTTTATCAAAGTTTTTTCATTTTTGTGAATGTTATAAGCTTTCCTCTTAGCATTATTTCATATATGACAAAAAAAATTAATCTTGATAAAAAAAGACAATACTATTATATATATGAAACACATATATATAATTGTATGTAAAATTTCAGATATAACTAAAAATATATATCTGTAAAAGGACAATATGAATAAAGACAAAAGGAAAACTTAGTTAACTCATTTCATCCTCTGACAGATTTTTATCAACACCAATAAACAAGATAAAAATAGGTATATAATACTAACTCTTTAACATCTACTATCCAAAACAATTTATCCAATCTTAATATCAAAATAATTACAATCACATCCAAAACTATTATGGATCTGATCAGAACCAAGAATATCCATAACAGTAATAATTCTGAAGTGTGTGTATATATATATATATATATATATACACACACACACAAAATAAACTGTCACTACTGCTCCTTACAATATACTTGATAAACATCTATGAACATAAGAAGGATCACAATTTATCAAATCCATTAGTCATACATAGAAATAAATTCAACCACAACTTTGATCTAACAAATGCCATACTTATTAAAAAAGAAAGTAACTTACTTAGATGGAAAATTCTTAACAGTGCCACTATTGAATCTTATCAAAATATAAATCTGTGACCAGGATTTTTTCAAATATCTTCATTCCTGAAAGAAGTACTTCTTTCCCAATCCAACGTACATGACTATAAAAATATTAAAAAATTAAAAGAAAACAGTTCAATTCATAACCTTCTATGATTTAAAATATATAATACATAAATTAATCCCAAACTAAAATAATATAAATAATAATTACATCATAAAAAAAAATTTTCATTTACTCATTTTTGTTTATGAGGCATTAAATTATGTCACTTAGTATCTTCCATAATTTACTTTAATTTTTCAATTAGCCTGATGAATATTTACGACCATTCTTAAATTTAAAAACTTTGAAAAGCTAACATTTTTATTTATACTTGTTGCAAAATAAAATCTTACATTTGCCTTAATAAAGTCCATCAGAGGACAAAACTCAATGGCTAAGTCTTCCTTTTGCCTCATGTGTGTGTATATATGAATTGGATCAAATATGGATTAGAATCTGGCAGAATGATAGGAAAACATAGGAAGTGTTTATAAATTTAACATTTTGCAATTGTAAATAAAAATATTGAAATATGGAAGAGGAAAGAAAAATCTGGCATTTTTATTTTTGTATTTCAGATAAACAAGGTCTGCTTATCAAATGAAAAACAAAAAACACAAAAATAAAAATACTTATTTTCTCTTCCATATTTCATTTTCTGATGAAACTTAAATAAAAGCTAAACATGTTAAAGTTATAAGTATTTTCTATTTGTTCTTTAAACTCTGGAGTTGAGAAGCTGAAGGTAACACCAAATGTTTACATGACAAATTTTATATTCATATATATATATATATATATATATATATATATATATATACATACACACACACACACACACAGGGTGCGATGGATAAATTGTCGTCTAAATTAAAAAATAAAAAAAAATAATAGTGAGATTTAATTTTAATAGATATATTAACTAAAATTACACAAAAATATCTTGAAATACAATAGAGTAAATTTATTCAATAAAATTGCCATTGGCTTCAACCCAAGCCTCTGATTCATTTTTGGTGTTACAAGGAGTTTTGATGGTCTATCACTCAACTGCACCCAACACATAATAATCAAGGGGGTTACAGTCTGGGGAGTTAGGTGGCCAGATAAATGGGAAGATGTGGTTGCAGAAATTGTCAGACAGCCATGACGGGGTTCTGCTTATGTAGCATGGTGCAGAGTCTTGTTGGCAGGCATAGGTCTTCCAGCAGCCTACCTCTTGACCAACGGCAGCACTACTCCCACTGGCTATGGACCCAGTTGACTTGGAGGGATTGTTTTCAATCATGGCATGGATCTCACTAACAAATTTGAGTTTTTTTTTTTTAGAACAATCAGAATGAGTTTTCTGAGCTGCTATAATTCCATAATCACCATTAGAATCATCCAACTCTTTCCAAATTCTCTGCACTGTCCTCAGATTGACACCCAAACACTATTGAAATGTTCATATTGGAGTTTCCGGCGCAAATGCTAGGCAGTACAGCATGGCATTTTTAAATTTCTAGCAGAGAGAATTGCATCATGGCGCTCTTTTTCTTACAGATGGTGCCCAACTGACCCTACTATGCTGTGCAGTTGACAAAAATCAAAACAAATGTGCAAAATTAAAAATATAAAATGGCAGCAATTTGCTCATCGCACCCTCTGTGTGTGTGTGTGTGTGTGTGTGTGTGTGTGCGATTATATATATATATATATATATGATTAATAAAAATAGTATTTGTTACTTTTTGCTGACTGATGTTACATTCAGTACAGTTTGATAGATGAATATTTCCATAAATGTTGTGTCCTCATTGGGTGGTTTCAGCAATTGATCACCAATTTTCTCATTTTCCCTTATACTAAGTTTGAGATATATAGATATATATATATATATTATATATAAGGCAAACTAATATAGAGAGATATACACATCTTACTTATTATAAAACGCAGATTGTGTGTGTGTGTGTGTCTGTACGTTTATATATTGGATCGGATTTCCTACATTTTTCAACCGATTTCAACAAAATTTCACAGGACTATGTAAAATTACCTTGCGGTGGTTCTAACAGTGCCAAATATTGGAAAAATACAATTGTTTTTGCATGAAATCAATTTGAAAACACGATTAAGAGGCATCACGAGAATGAAAGCAGTACAATTCATATCGAGTTATACTTATAAAACCCAGGTTGTTTGTGTGTGTGTGTGTGTTCATTTATATATGGGATCGGATTTCCTACATTTTTCAACCGATTTCAACAAAACTTCACTTTTTTGGGGGCAGGTAGTGTTTCTTATTGTCTTGCACACTTTTCTTTATTTTTAAATACAGAATGCTTTAAAATTCCATTTACAAGACAATTGTTTATAATAAAATTCTATTCAATCGGTAGATCCATAACAATTGAAAACAATGTTTTTGTTTGACCAATTCGTAAAAAAAAAAAAAAAAAAAAAAAAAAAATTAATTAAGACATGTGTGCGCATCAACCTTAAACAATAATCTTTGTCAATTTTATTTTTCAGTCTTTATGAGGGTTGATACTTGATTTATCTCTTACTGTTACATTCCCGGGCAACACCGGCTCTGCTGCTAGTTGTTTATATTTTTGAGATGTATTGTAACTTTTGATATTATTTACTTTGTTTGGACTATTGTCATATTCAGGTTTCATCCCAAGGACATATGGCCTTGTGGATAAAATTGAGTGACCCAAAAAGTAACTTGATCCTGAGAATTGTGAGTTCAAAACTTGGAGAGTTGAGTTACTGAGATACCCCCAAAAAGGCATGGTACAGGGAATTAGAACAATCTACTCCCCAGTGGACTAATTAAAGGGTTCAGTTTGATATTTCAATGTATATCACCTGTAGAAGCATATAGTTACCAAAACGGCATGAATTTCGCAATAAAGCTGAGTACAACAGTCCAAACAATGTAAATAGTACACACATCCTTTTAAAAATATATTTGGGCTAATCTTATGACTGCTTTATCATATTAATATATTTTGATTTGGAATACTTTATTACAAATATAATTACAACATACCTGAAATAGTAATTTTAGTAGAAATTACTATCTTTTCCAGTTGTGATCCTTCTCTCTTCTCATTTTTGGTAAATCTACCTCCCTCCTATTTTATTACATATTTTTGTAAACAAAGTCTTAAATTGTTGGTAATAGTTATGTAATTATTTAAGGTATTCAAAGCCTGTGATTTTAAATACCGATTTTCTGAGCCAGAAGTCAGGCTACACATGTTTTGTACTAAACTAAGATATCAATATAACTTTATTCCACATTTTTTAGTCAAAACCATGTATTATTCATGACTTTAACTGTTTGGACAATGCTAACTTCCTTTTTATTACAGTCCTCTATTTTCAAATTAAACTTCTTTTACTCTTGTAAATTCTTAAAAGATACACTTAGTATCAATAGGGCTTATATAACTAGACAATATAAAATAACAAAAATCAATGTAAAATGAAATAATGTAACAATTTTATAACAATCTC